AATGGTTTGTATTAGCAAAAGTGATAATAATTTAAACAAAAGGTCAGAAATTCAAAATTTAAGCAAAATTTATAATTATATAATTTCTATTTAATTTATATATGCAGTCAGTAAAATATCACATTTTGAATTTTCCATGTATTTGTTACATTTTTTCGGGCATCTATCAATGGTGAATAAATCTTCTTCTTTTTTGTTACTAAACAAAGAAGAATTTTTTAAACAAAATTTTATTTTTGACAATATGTCAAAAATAAAAATTTTTAAGTTAGTATTTATGACATTTATGCTGGTTGTAGCTATTCTATTCTTGTTTACAAATTCAATTTTTTTTTCTAAGAAACTTCATCAAAATTTTGCAGAGAAACATTTATTAGAATAAGACATTTTTTTATTAATATTTTTTGTATTTAATATGTAAGCAGTAGTTTTATATAAAAAACTAATTTTATTTGGTGAGTTAACAAAAAGTTTTTTATTTCTAGTTCAACTTTGTAAGACATTTTGTATTTTTTAGAAGCTCTTGATAAAAATTGTAATCACAATTGAAAGCTCGAGTAAAAAATAGTGAACAAATAGCCCCTTTTATTGACTCCAACCCATCAAAAACAGTGTTATATATATATATATATATATATATATATATATATATATATATATATATATATATATATATATACTTGTATCATGCACTGAAGTTATTTAAATTAAAAGGTACTTTATACTAATATTTAATCTAATATGATATTAGACTAAAAGAACTCAAATATATACGTGTATACACACTTGGAAAACAATTCAGAGACGGTAAGAGACGGTAATTTAGGCACGTGTCCTCCCTCAAGGATCGCCCAACTAGAAGTGAGTTGGTTCTTCTAAAAATTTCACAAACTACCCAAGAAAGGTGGGATATCTCCCACTTAAAAACGACAAGCCCTACTGTATGTATTTCTGAGAAGGTAAGATTCTAACAACTTCGACAGGTTCGAGGTAATTCGTTACTAGTAATTTGGAACGTGAGGAAAATAAAATCTTTTGGATTAGATTCTTACAGCAAATTACTATAAACGTGCGTTCGACGATAATTAACAATTCTATCAAAGGAACACGCTTGAAAACCGGAAAAGGATTAACTAAGGATTAACCAAACCGGCATCTTTAAATAAGTAGGTAGATTCTTCCATAATATTTCGGTAGTTTCCAATAAAATTTAACAACCCATTTGCGAATACGACCATCGACGTATCTGCAACCGGGGTAAATGGATTGAAAATAATTTCATATTTTAATTATAAAAAAAAATGTTACAATATTTTCTATACCTGTTATCAAAATGTTTTCTTTTTTTTCCATATATGAGTATTCCAGGTGAATCTCTTTGTCCATATCTGAATTACTTTACAGTACCTACCGTTGGGAGGGGAGCAATGTTGATTAATATTCGAAGTGAATCGTTATGGTATTTAGTGAATAATATATGTCTTGTAGATTCTTGAGTTTTATCTTCTACTTCTTAGTTCATTTCTGGACTTTATTTAAGTTTTTTTGGAGTTGTTCTGCTGCAACCACGGGATTTGCATGTACCGCCATTATTACGGTATCGTCGGCAAATGTGGCTGTATGTACTTTATTGCCAGTAACCAAATCAGAGGTAAATAGTAGATAAAGTATCGGCCCAAGAACGCTACCTTGAGGAACGCCTATCTTTATGAGATGTAGACCGGTTATTTCGTCTTCATATTTTACCTGGAAATATATTTTTTTAGGTACGAGTATAGTATATCATATATGTTCTGGCGTAGGTCCTTTTTTAGTTTACACAGTAGTCCCTGATACCTTGTCAAATCACCTGACAATCCCACACCTTGTCAAAAGCTTGACTCACATCGATGAATGCAGTTGAGCAATATTGCTTATTTTCAAAAGAGTTTTCGATTAATTCTACCAGTCGATGGATCTATTCAATTGGTAAATGTTTAGCTCTCAAATCCAAATTGGTGTGTCGGTAGAAGTTCTTTTTCTGCAATAATTTTTATTAGTCTATTAGCTAGTAAATTTTCCATTTCAACATGACAGACAGTAGACATTATGTCGTTAAAAAGTTTGGTGTAATATGTTGTATTGTATGCTTCCTTGTAGTTGGGATATGTTCTTTGGGTTGCTTTAATTTTTTAGGTACTTTCCATAAGATGTAATTTGTATCCTCTGTTGACGTTAGGTTTTTCACATAGTTTTAGAAGCTTTAGATTTTAGTGCTTGATAGGTAGTCTTTTAAGCGTTTGGCATATATAGTTTGTATTATATGTTATAGTTTGTTTATCTGTTATTGTTTGTATCCCTGTTATAGTTTGTTTAATCTGCAGGGTGTTTTGTGTTTTGCCCATCGAGCAAAAAGATAAAAGAGATAATGCATTTTCGGCTTTCAGAAAACACTCTTTAACGATAGCCGCGTCACTAAATAGCTTCATATGTTTGGCAAACATAGTCTTTTAAGCGTTTGGCATATATAGTTTGTATTATATGTTATAGTTTGTTTATCTGTTATTGTTTGTATCCCTGTTATAGTTTGTTTAATCTGCAGGGTGTTTTGTGTTTTGCCCATCGAGCAAAAAGATAAAAGAGGGAATCTAATCGTTATGAAAAGGAGACCAAAAAAGTGGCCTCTGATGGCGGACATATCCGGAAATGCAAAGGCGCTAAATTTAAATTTTCCAACACTTATTAACAATAGCTATAAAATATTTTTCAGACGAGAAAGTTTTAATTAAATATTAACTATAATAGTCTAAAAAGTGACACAATTGGTAAAAGATTTCAATATAAATAAAATTTCATGTGACAGTTGGGACAAACAATAACATAACCTAACTAAATTTGACTTCTTAAACAAGGAAAGAGACTGTCTATCCTTGTCTAAAGTGGCCTCTCAAGATGGCACTTCCTGTCTATCAATATGTTTACCCCCACTACCTTTACATTCCCTCTTTTGTCTTATTGCTCGATGGTTTTGCCACATCTTTCTTAGGTGGCGTTTTTCTTTAATCTTCTCTTTTATACTAGGAGGGCAGTGACTTCTCTTTTAGATTCTGACCAATGGTGGAGTTGATTCCTACGAGGCATACTGTATTAATTCTGTAAATTTTTGTACTTAGTTTTCAATTCTTGGTGCGTATTTAAAGACTGTTTACTTCATTTTCTAATTGTTCGTTCTTTCAAATCGTAGCTATTACTGGTGTACGATATGAAGTAATATCATAAGTAGGTTCGGTAGTTAGGTATTTGTTGGAGAATCCTTTGGTTACAAAGAAGTCAAGGCAATCTAAGTGTTTCTAAGGATGTGTAGGCCAGAAGGTTGGTGTATAGGTGGATTAGGTGTAGTTCTTGAATCACTTGATACAGTTTTCTTCATCTTCCTGAAGCTGTTAGTCAAGATCCCAGCTTGTGTGTTTAGCTTTATAGTCTACTCCTGCTAGGAATGTGTTTGCCGTTATTTTTAAATAATTCTGTAAACATGTCATTATCTGCTTGGTAATTTGGTGAACAATACACCGGTGTTATTGTAATGGGTCCCTTCCAATCCTCTATTACCACGCTGGTTGACTGCATGTCATTTTTTTCTACTTTATCGGGGAGGTAGTGCTTAATTCCATTTCGAATTAATACTGCTGCTCCAACTGACTAATTTGTCCACATCTGGATGGGCAGCACTGTATACGTCAAAATTTCGGATTATGTAGCTAGTTTTTGAGGTAATGTGTGTTTTAGAGACTAACAATGTCAATTTTGTTGGTTACTAGGAATACTTCTATTTTGTATTTGTGTTGATTTATGCCGTTTGCGCTCCATAGTGCTTTAGTAAGTAGCTTAGGCATTATACTTGTAAGTTTTTTTATTTCCTGAACTAGTTGGTTTATTATAGTTTGTTGCGATTATATTATACGTTGTAGATATTGTATAAAGCTAATATTTTCGAGTTGTGTCTTGCGCATTTTGCTGTTTTGTCATAGGTCTCGTTATTTTGGTGGCACTGGCCTAAGTATACTGATGTTTGTGGCAAGTTTTCTTGTTTGTGGCAAGTTTGTGGTGCATCATTTCTTGTGGGGTATCTTTTATTTAATATGTCCGTGGTCGACTTGACATCCCTTAAAATTTTCTGAATGAGGTCCACTACATAGAACACATTTTGCTGGGTTTCCGTCCTCCTTCGCTTTTTTACAAGTGCGATAATCATGATTTAGCGCACATTTTACGCATCGTTTTGGCAACGTTTGCATTAAATGACAGATGTTTTCTGTGGGGTTGTTCAAATCGAACTACTGCATTAATCTATGATTTTATTTGACATATGTCCCCGTTATTTTCTTTTCTTTCTAGGTCTATAAAAAATAAGTCCTTTGATGCTTATGTTTGCAAATTTAAAACATTCAGGATTAGGTTTACATTATGACTTTTTTCTTTTAGTATGGATATGATTTCAGTCACATCTGTAATATAGTGTAACTTTATTAAGACTACTTGGTAATTTTATTCTTCCAGTAGTTTATACGTATGTCGAACTACTTTGTTTTTGTCAGAAATGTGTTTAATCGTTTTGTAATCTTTCACCGTTGCTCCTTGGATTTTCATTTTGTTTTACATTAGAAGCTGATACGTAAATTTTGTAGTTCCTTCTTTAATGAGTTTTAACAGTGCCTGGACATCTGTAGTTACTTCATATAGAATAAATGGTAGAATTTTATCTATTTTTTGTTCAGCTTTGTTAACGCTGTTTATAGAGTAATTTGAAATATATTTTTAATTCCAATCTTGTTAATTTGATTTCGAAGACGTGCGTATTTTTCAGACTCTCTGGGCTATCCTTTTGTCTTTTTCGTTGATATCTATGCGATTCAATTTTCTGATAGTTATTCGGCATATAGTTACCATCATCATCAGTGGTTTCATGGTCAGTGACCTCTCGATACATTGTGTTTTCTATCCCAGTTGCTTGTTTATTTTTATTAAGGATTGAAAAGGTCTGATGTAATTGTGATGGTTGCAGGTATGAGTTTATCTTGGTTTGTGTAAGCATTTGTTGATGGTACTAACTTCGAGTTCATTGCATTTGCTGGTTTTGGATTGACTAATGCTGCATTGGTTGATGCTGCATTAGCTGATGCTGCATGGGCTGGTGCTGCAGGGGCTGGAATTGCATAGGCTGGTACGATATAGGCTGGTACTGCATAAGCTGGTACTGCATGTGTTGAGCTTGATTCCATATTGGATCTACTCCTATATTTGACTGATCAGGTATAATAGGGTAATTATTTATTAGTTGTGGTTATGTGAGTAGTAAAGTACACATATTGTGGATTTAGACTTGCTCCGCCACTGGTACTCTGCATTTTATAAAAAAAATTATCATTTGTCATTCCAATCCATTTTATTTTTTGTAGCAATTCAGTTGAAAGGATAGTAGATTATTATAATATATTATATATTCAGTAGAAAATTTTGAATGTTTTGTTTGTATCTAATTCTTAGTTAATTTTGTGGTATCTTCCTGATGAAGTTGAAAGAATAAATAATCAAATATTATAAATTTTAATAATTTTTTTATAATTCAAATTTTATTAAAAACTAATATTTTATACTTTTAATGGAGAAGCTCCTAATTGTTGTAAAAAAATCCGATGTCAGCCAATTGTGTAACAATTTACTGCTAACATAGAGATAGACATTTTGAATTTTTACACAACATACGTTTGTAATATCCACTCTTTATTTATAAGCCCACATCCCATCTCTTCCATTCGTTCAATGATGCACGAGTTCCAAGCTGTTAAGAACCACGAGAAAATCATTACTACTATTTTGCAGGTGGTTTTTATTAGAAAATACGTGATTTTCCAGTTTTTTTGCAAGATTCGACAATGCCGCTGCATTTGTTTCATGCGATTTTCGAGTGCGCATTTTAACTACGCACCACACACAAGTTTAGGGCACGCGGTGGCTATCCCCTCCATTACAATTTACAATACGGTTGCAACTCGTTCCTCCAGCTACAATCGATATAGAAAGGATGATTCTTTCGATACTATCCAACGAATACAACTGTTGATAACACTCGCACTACAGTGACGTACCAATATAATTATTTATAAAATCGATTTTAATTTTAAAATTTACACAAATTAAAAGAACCTCTTTATATTAAAATGTATTTGAATATTTTTGTGTTAGCTACAAAAAAATGCCTATGCGAAATACGTATAAGCTAATGGTAGTGCTCTGTATTGAAATTAAATCTTAACTGCCTTTTTTATTTTCGTATACTCGAGAGGGTTTTTGTCTAGATATAGTGACGTTTATAGAAATCCAGATTTTATATTCCTTATGTCTGTGTTTCTTTTATCATCTGTTTGCTTTGAAAATTGTAGAAAGCACATATTTGTGGCAATTTCCTGAACAGAGTTCAAACGTAAGAAATCTCCCGATTTTCGGTTGTTTTTAGAAAAAGTTAATTCAGATAAACTAAAAAATAATTTAATTGACATATTATAATAGAAAGAAAAAAAAACGTTTAAAACTAAAACTCTCTTCTCAATAGTCGTATATGGCGAGGGTTCACCATAATATTTCCACCTGAGGTTTGTTTCCAAAACTTACTACACTTCCGCGGTCCAGACAGTCAGGACTAAACTAGGCAGTGGCGTAACCGAAGGGGATTCTCTCCCCTCAGGAGATCATACTGGTTTTTTCTTAGGTGCCTGTCCTCCGAACGTTGGCGATCATTCGGCTATGATGACTTTGTTGGTTGCTATACGAAATAGCTGTGTTGAAGTCTTTTCCATACCAATGCTCACAGGTCAGATATTCTTCTTCGTCCTGGGGCCCCTGATATCCTTCTATTTTACCTATGCAAAATGCATTAAAGGAGTCTGTATTTGCCTTGATTTTCTCATTATATGTCCCCAAGTACTGTGCAGCTTTACCAACGACCCTCAACGATGTTGAACAAATCCACAGTTTGTGTCATCCTTCGCAGTACATCTTCATGATTACTTTGTCTGTCGATCGGTATCATCAGGATCCATCTGTATAGCCACATAAGGAGCATTTTTGTTTCTAGGGTGAGGTCATGGCTCTTGAACACATGAACTTAAAGCAGAATGCACTTTTGCCTTTCCGATGCGACATTTAATCTCTTTGGTATTGTCCCACGACTCATTGATTATATTCCCAAGTAGTTGTATGTAAGACCAAGTTCAATTCTCAATTTGGGTTCACATAACCGATTTGCTCCCATTTATGTTTTCCTTTCTGATGATCAATTAGCTTGGTTTTGCCGTGTTTACATACTAGTCACATATTATCTACTTGTGTCCGTTAATTTTGTTCAATTAAGTTTTGCAGCCCTTTTACTGGTTACGTAGTTGAAACCAGGCAACTAGGCCACGTCCTTTGGAAGATGACGTCGAGGCTCGAAGAGGGGATCGATATAACTTTTTTAAATCCACAATATCCTTGCCATAATAGTCTACCACAGCCTTTTGTAAATCCTCTCCTGTTTTAGTTCCTCACATTGGCAAAATAGTCAAAAGTTCTTCAACAAACTCTTCACTGATTCTGTCCAGGTAGCGCATGAAAATGACAAGCTGTGCTGTATCTATAATGTCGTATGACTCATCCAATGCCAAAGCAAAATATTTAGTGACACTCAAGATTTGTTTCAACGTTTTCTATGTTTCATCTGCCAATACCTGTGTATTCCTTGTGCTTGAAGTAGTAGATATTGGAATACGCTGAATAGTATCGACAACATCCTTTTTATGTTCAAATAATGCATTTTCGGCTTTCAGAAAACACTCTTTAACGATAGCCGCGTCACTAAATAGCTTCATATGTTTGGCAAACGTCCAGGAAATACGTAAAGAAGCTTCAGAACATTATTAAATTTGATTATAAATTTACACTTTAATTTTATTACTATATTTTGAATTTAACGGCGGTCCGCAAAAATCAAGCTCACGGTTCGGATACGGATCGCGGTCCGCCATTTGGTGACCCGTGTTATAGGGAACCTAAATACAAGTTTTAAAATCGAAGATTGTAAGAAGGGGGTGTGAATAGGTAAATAAAAAAAGCATTAAGCGCACTGTTATTTAATATATTAATGGACGAAATAATACACGTAATACGTCAAGGTCATGGTTACAGAAAGGGGAACAGAGAGATAAAATTAATATGCTATGCAGACTACGGTCCGCTAGTCGTCGGACCGAAGTTAATCTCCGAAGATTAACGAACATTTTCAATAAAACAAGCAAAAAATACAATATGATAATCTCAGCAAAAAAACCAAATGTATTTTAATATCGAAGTACCCACTACTACGTAAAATCGAAATCTACAGTAAAATAATAAGGCAGAAAATGCAGGGCAAAGATATAACTAGTTATGGAGATTAAGGAAGTTAGACAAGTTTTAAAAACAAATAAAGCGGTGGGATCTCTTAATGATACAGTCTGGAGAAGAATAAGCACCTAAGACAAGGCACAAAAGATAGGATCTATAAAGCAGCAATTACACCTATAACCACATACACAGCGGAGGTGAGACCCAACACATCCAAAACGAAATGACAGAGATGATAATAGTCCGAAGAATATCAGGAAAAAGCGTACTTGGAGACAGCAGCGAGAACATGAAGGCTAGATATTGTAAGACATAAGTACATGAGTAACAAAGCAGAAACTGGAATAAAACGAACACTAGCAGAATTGAAGAAGATAGGACGGTGAGGACATCATCGAATGGTCGAAGAAGTGTTGAAAGACCAACGAAAATATGGTGTGATAATTTAAATAATACAGGAGCATAATATGGAAGAAGAAACGGGCCTTAGGAAACTATATATAAGAAGGAAGAAGAATCTTACAGAAAAATGGACTATCTATGCATATTTTTCAAAGAAAATGAATAATAATAAACCATCGGTACATTGATTTGAGATGGGAGTTGTCTTTTATAAATTTTATAAAATAAGCTCTCGGTATTACATGAAAAAATTAAACTCGGCCTTATTAACATTTCAAAATGGTTGTAATCGCTGCAATATTTGACATCACCGAAGCCGCTTTAATAAAAAAGTACATTACTTAAGCTGCTGGTGATAACACGTTGGTTTAAGATAATAGCTCCTTGCGGCTATTTGAGCAGTGTTATTGGGCGAGCGTGCTAGCATAAGTAGTGCAGCTAGAAAAAGATTTAAGCGTCTGTTGAAGCAAGACCTTGATCAAAGGAGGCTGGACAACAGGCGCTAAAATTTATCTGAAAGTCACACACGGAGATGTAAAATATACACAAAAGATCTTTGGTGGAAAAATTTACGAACCCAAACGACTCCTTTATCCACAGTCCTGTTTTTATTATTAAATTACCCTTTTTATTTTCGTACACTTTTATAAATTAAAATTATGAATTATAAAGAACTATTATAAGTAAAATATTTTTTGGTTTTTGCATAAACATAGAAAAAATTGTATGCAATTTATGCAAAAACTATTAATTGCAATCGATATGTTGTCCAACTCGATCTGACGTCTTCGTTTGACAATTTCAATTACTTTTTGCACTTGTTGAATGAATAACTACTACTTCATAAATTCTTGTTATCTATATGTTTGATTTTATCCTTAATTTCAATGTGAAGGTGAATGTATATTATTACACTCAAATAATAATTGAAATTTCTTAGCACTTAAATCAATCACTTATCACTTAAATCAATGTCAGTGCTAAGAGATTTCAATATCATTTCAATAACATTAACAATAATTTCTTTAAATTATTTTTTAATGAATTTTATTCCTACCGACTGCACTGACTTTTCCATATCGCTGCTGTACCGTGCCAACAATGCAATCGAAATATACTCGACTGAAACGATTCATTTATCCATCATCGAACAACAAAACGAATACGATAAGCATAAGCTCACACCACAACAGCTTGTACGCCTGTCACTTCATAATCCACGTAAAATTTCCATTCATTGTTTTCGGCGTCGTTGGAGCTGGAGTGTCTTTGTGATGTTTTTTTCTTGTTTTTAATTCCAAAAACCCTTAACTTTGGTCACCGTCGTGTGTAAATATTTTTAAATATCATTTCAAGTCATAGACTCTTGTGTAACCCTGAAAAACACACGACGGTGGTCTTCGCGCATCTTATTGGTCGATAAAGCAGCCAGTGCACGTGATGCTCTTCCCGTAGAAAC